CATGAGCTTTGAGGTATAACACCTACTGTATAACAGCGGTGACAACAATATTACCACACTCGATGGTCACAAGTACGATAAAGCATAATAGCATAATGATTTACCATTTCCAGTGCGATTAAAAACGAACACATCAAACTCGGAACTAAGTAGCTTGAATAGCTTTGGTCTGAATATATGTGAGTTGCATGATGTATGGATATCGTCGCTGTATTGTCTCGACATCCAAGTCAACATAGCTTCCACTGTACCTAGTGATATTTATTCTCGGGGCAGGTATTTTCACTGCCTGGCAATCATCATGGTGAAAACAAAGAATACTCTCAGAAAACAGTACTTTGGGATGGTTGTTGACACTCCCCTGAACAGTGTAACAAGATTACCCCTACATATGCAACATACTTAAATTAAGTTTGTGCTGTTTTCTTGATTTTAGCTATTTTCACAGGCTTTTCGACCGGCGTTTCGCAGAAGCTTGCGCAGAGCCCATAGAAATACATGATAGAGTGGTGCGCGTCTTTAATAGGAGTGTCTTGTGGCGAGGAATTTGATGGCTTGGCCAAGCGCTTTGATGAAAGAAGCAATATGATTGGCTGTTGGTAAACTGATTCTAAACTGTGAGGGCATTGTTACATACACATAGTCCTAATGAAGTGCTTCACTGGAACATTCACCTTGAAAATTCAAGATGGGTTCTCAATTATTCAAAAAGAATGGGTGCGACTTCTATCAGAGATGCGGCTTCTAATACAGATTTTACGGTACTTGTCTTTTTAACAAATTTGAATCAATACATGATTTACAATGTAAGCTAAAACAATCTCATTGTGAGAATATACTTTAATTTAAATTAAATTAATTTGAATAATCAAAATAGCAGAAAAGCTAGCAAAAAGATATGATATGGTTAACATTATTTCATCACCCCATGGTTTGATCAGGAGAATCAATGTAGTGCTTCACCCCCCTATCTTCGTTTTGGTTTAGCCCACTTTCACAAACACAGAGTGGGTGTGAAACAGAGGCTGACCAGATACTAGTATTGTAAATGATCACATATTCAGCCAGCCTTTGTTTTACACTGCCTTTGTTATGCTGCATTTGTCATCTTAGATGCAATCAGATCACATCATCTATTGGACTCGCATTTACCAGGTACTGTTTTGATTTTTCACTTTCAATAATTTACTACATTTCTTTAAATCAGTAGACGGTAATGAATTTGAAGCAAAACAATTAAAATTCCGTAATTTGGTCTATGCTATGGTTAAGGACTGGGATTGAGACTGACTATTGACTGTCTTTCAGTTAGCTCATTGAGGTCATTACTATTTATGAGGTTACTAGTACTGTAAAGTGGTTAATTATTCACTGGGTTTTAATTTAGCTTATTTCAGTGACTGGAAAATGGGCTAAATTGAAACCCAGTGAATATGTAAAATTTAGCATAGAACACATTATCTAAATGATAAAACCATGAATTTAAAACCCACTGAATATGCCTGAAATGGTAAATCGGCGAAATTTAAACCCAGTGAAAATTAGTCATTTTATAGTATTTGTACACAGGGAAGTAATATCCCTAACTCCATGAGCGAATACTCGGCATAATTCTTGTGATAATCTATTATTAGAAGTCTTTCCATAATTTAGTGTGAAATAACAGCCCAAAATGCCAGCAAAAAAAAAAAGATTCATGCATGTGTCGCATTCAGCATAAACAAAGAAAAGTGCTACAATGTGACATATGATGTATGTATGTATGTATGTATGTATAAAATGCATTTCCCAAATAAGGAAGGTCATGATGTATGGGTTTTGACATGTGGCTTAATTCTTTTGTTTATGTTGTCATATGAATTATTTATTAATATAAAGTCATTTTTGTGTTGTATATATTTTTTGACCTATTAGACAGGCTCTGATGGAATGGAATAAATGATTGGATGTTCTGTTATTTCCAAATGCTAATTCCAAATATGGAACGATTATTTACGTAAGCGTCTGCTATTAATAAAAACAAAACATGGCAGCCCCAGGGTTTGACCGGACCATACGCAAACAAATTCAGACCAATGTACATTCTGCGTAATGTTTGGTGCACCTAGTATGAAACTGCAGAACTAATATATTTTCTCCAAATTACCGGGGTGATTAATTTGAATGCAAGTTTTAAACTTCTGGTAAAATCCAATAATTGTCAGACAATCAAAAATACAAGCACTATGTGTATACTAAATTTCAAATCACATTAACCTTATATGTTTATATATACATATCATTGATCATTATTATGCAAATTAATTAACTGCACAGATTAATTGCAAGCTATTATGAGATATTCAATAGTGAAAACATCACTAGCTGAAAAAAAGGCAATATAACAGATTATTTTCAAGCTATTATTAGACATTTAATAATACAAGCTATATGCATGTACTTGTTTCAATCCATGTGAGGCATGAGTCATGTGAAATGGTCAATGCATGGGTTATATAATCAAAATTAGGGTAAAGCGACCACATTGTTGGCATATAATCAAATTGAGTGTTCAAAAGACTCCAACTATTCAAATGCATTATCTAATTTAATTTAATAAACTGACCATGCAATTACTGACTTTCGAGCTGTGTGTTTTTGCCAGAATATCGCTAGAGGGCGTAATAAAGTACCCGAATGACAGTGGTGTTCAGTGCTTGGAGTGAGGTTGAATTAATACAACATTGTATGCACCCAATTAGCACCATATTATTTCCAGATTCGGACCTACAGACATATAAATGGTTAACTGGTATTGCAATGTTCCTGGTGTTCTTCCAGCGCAATTAAAAAAAATGGAAAAATATCCTTGACTTTTAGACGTTACTTTCCATAATTTTCCACGAAACTTTTCAACATATAGAAAATAATATTTCTTCTTCACTGTTCGTTTAGTTTGCCACTCTTATTCTCGGGATAGATACGATGAATGGCCATGTGTATGTTTGTATGCACAACGACAACCTCAGTGACGATAGCCACAAACGTGGACGTGAAGATATCAGCGATGTTTTTATTACAGTAGGAAATTCTGTACATATAGTTTGTAGCAAATAAATATATTATATGTACACGTAACTATTATTGGCCGTGTTTTTTTTCAATCCCTGGAACTTTCTGAAAAAAATGCAAGAGTAAATTACAACTGTATGTATAACGGTTTTGTACAACAACGGGGCTTACTCGATATTCCATGATCACCAGGCGTCAAAGGGACGAACATTTAGTTTATCAGCATGCTCTACAAGTTCAATAAGCTTTGCTTTTCATGCATTACTGCATGTTTAGCAAGATCTTTGGGAGAATTTACAAATTCAAGAACTTTCTTCGAACTAAGATTATGGTCATGCAAATGAGCAGCCATTAGGATCTCAAAAGTTCCTAATAAGGTGATTTTCCGTACAATTGCGAGATCTCGCGAGATGTATGAAAGACGCAGTGAATGGAAAATGGTCTATTGGCACGAAATGTACAAATGCATAACATATGCACCTCATTGTTGTCTACTGTAAATATGGCATATACATAGTCAGAGGTTTTTCTAGAAAAAATGAACAAGAGGGAGCACACGGATTGACTTGGAAACGACATATCAGAAGGTTTCTGTGCCGTTTTAACAGTGTAATTATCGCCATTGAAATATTTTTGGAGTAACTTTAGTGTATTTGGTGTCCAGACACATTGGTGTTGCTAAGAAGTTTTCACAGAGAAAAATATATTTGAGAAAGATTTCATGTTGTACGGCAGCACGGAAGTGCATGGCTCAAGAAATAGATTTATGAATTGAAAGTTCATTCGGTAAGAGGACGCTAGCCGAAAGTATCAGGGCGATGCGCCCCTGTTCCCTGGTTTAGAAAAACCGGCCCTGCAATCAAGACCGACTTCCAACTTCTTGGGTGTGAAATCAGTCTAATGATGATTCTCAATAAAACAAAACTGATACCCATGGTTAACTCATAACACAAGCATATAGAATTGGCACTAAAACTCCCAGTAATTAAAATAAATTCTTAGTATTTGCTAATGATCAAAGAGCAACGAAACAAGCGTGTTACACTAGCCCCACCCACAATTCAACATATGGAAATTAACTAGTTAATATGCACAGACATTTGATAATACAAGCTATATGCATGTCTCTTCAGTGCTATTATTAGACATTCATCTGTACTAATATTATACACATGCTAAATTTTAATCTATTTTAGTAAATTGAGAGGTAATTGGTATGCAAATTAGACAATTAAATTTTGCATATTCTCAGGGGTAGAGTTACATCACAGAACACGTACCATGTTTTTCTATGGGATTATATGTCGAATATGTAGCGTACATGTTACTCAAGTGAGTGTTCAAGTGTCAATAACTAGCTACTACAGTTTTATGAGAGCTTTTTGACTGTTGTTTTCACGTGTTGCTGTTGCCAGGCATTGATAATGCCTAGATTAATACTCAAGAGCATAAATCCAAACTATTATTAGACACGAAGAATTTGGGAACATACTTAAAAATACTGTAAACCATTCAAATATTACTGCGATTTCAGGATCATACAGCATTCATTAAAACAAAATGTTGCGAAAATCACTAGGACAGAGAAATTTTCACTGCTGTATAGATGACTGTAAACTACTTTATTTTACTTGGAATAGTTTTTTGCTGAAAACATTTTTAGGTTTTTTGTATGAAGTTTCATTTTCACTGATTTTGATGAACTGGATGTACAATATAGGAAAAAATGTATATGCGCTGGATTTTATTTTAACTGTGAAAATAGCGAAAAAAAAAGTCCAAGCGAAAATGAAGTATTTTACAATATAAGATATTATATGCACAGTTAATATATTGATAGTGAATGATACTTATTTAAACATATTTGTTCTATTTCTATATTACAGTTATTAGATGAGATATACTAAAGAGAAAATATTATGAAGTTTGATGAGCGAGTAGCAAGCAAAATGAAAGATCAGAAGCTACATTGCAGAGTTGATGCTACCATTAATAACAATGTTACTATGAATGGAGGGCCATCAAAGGTAAGCCATTGTACGTTTAAGGTTTTATTGGGAGTCTTTGCAGTTAGTGTGTATGTATGTGTGTGTGTCCGCCTGTTCCACTGATATCTCAAGAAACATATGTTTTGATAATCTAAATTAGAATTATACTTGTGCTTTCCAATTTTTATTCCAAGGTCCGGGTTTCAAAATGGAGATCCAAAGCTATTGAAGTGTTCGAGGAAGCCCCTTTGCGTGCCGTTATCGAAACCTGTCTGAGCTACTTTGTTCTTCTATTTATTGGGTATATCAGAGATTTGCTACGAAAATTTGGTATTGAAAAAATGGATGTTGCTAAGGAACATGGAAACGAGGTAATGCTGTGAACCACTTTTGCCATCTGTGATTTTAGCAAATGCTGCTTCACCTTGAACTCTAGCAACTACATATCTGATAAGGCAGTAGGCATAACCTTCAAACAGTGTCCAGGGAATGAAGAATGCATTCAGTTTTAGAGATTTCATACCGGATTCTGCCGTAAATTCGCCCATCCAAATAATCGCCCTGGGCGTTTTAACGGCTGGTGGACCCTTATTTGGGGTTCGAATTTTCAAAAAATTATCATCAAATATTTTTTTAGGGGGCTTATATTTTCATTGAAAAATCCACCTACGTCGACTTTCAACACCAGCAATTGGACCACCCAAAACGAAAGAAACTTAAATTGTATATATTTGTTTCTAGCTGGATCAATAAGAAGACCGCGCATCATTCTCCAAAAAAATCACATTAAGGAACCTTGTGCACCAAATACAATTATTTTGTTTCATTTTATTAGTAATGAAAGTATATTCTAAAAGAAGTTTCAAATAACAACGAACTCAACTGCATTGCTTAGTGGCGAGTGATCGTGGTAGCGCAATCCGGTTCATGATTATAATAACGTGCAAAAAATTAATTTCTTGAATTGTTATAAAATGCAAATAAATTTCATCTTGTTTCATCGTAAGCGAATGATTCCGATCGCATTTTCAACGCTCGATACTGATACCAATGAAAACGATGGATGATGCCAACTTGTTCAAATTACCATAAATCATTTAAATATGTTAATGTTGTTGAACCCAGCATGGAAGAGATTTGCCGATGTTGTTGTACGATCTTATGGCTTGGATGTTAATGGGAAAGCGGCATGATTTGTTTTTAAATAAAAAAATTAGTTGTTTTCAAAAGATAAACTGAGCATTTGAAGCATAAATTAACATTATTTACAGTGATAACAACCCATTGTCGAAACGAAGCTAACCCATTCACGCTAGTCGCAACAAACATCAATACTCTTGAATAGGCGTCAATGACTCCGGCGAAACTTTTAGGCATCAGAAAAGATCAAAATAACTCCCTTCTTGGTCCCAATTTATTTTTTTAAAAACCTGAACTGCTGTTTAACGGCCCTGGGTGAATTTACGGCAGAATCCGGTATATGGAGAGAGACTAAAAAAGGTGTCAAATGATGCATTTTTGGTTCTCATTTGTTCAAAAAGATTGGGTGCGACTTCTATTCGGGATGTGGCTTCTAATACAGATTTTACGATAGGTGTTCAGTTTATAAAAGGTTTATATATAGATTCTAGGGACTGTACATGCTGTTTTATTTATAGAGGTTTTATATATAGATTGTATGGACTGGAAACAAGTTTTCAGTTTATTGAGATTTTACTTTGGTACTGTAAGGTGTTTATTTTAAGGTTTTATATGCAGTCTAAAGACTGGAGGGGGTTTTTGTGACATGTTTGTGGAATTGTAGATTGACGAATACGGATCATAATGTTTTATGTTTCTCTTTTGCTCAGGGTTTTGTCCCGTTATATTCTGGTTACCATAGTTTCTATACACGTAATGTATATACTCGTGTACGTGACTGCTTTAATCGGCCAATCAGTAGCACTCCTGGTGTCAAGTGTGATATCATGGAACGAACCAGTGAGGACTATAACTGGCATCTGAAGTAAGTAAACATACTTGACTGAATTAAGAAATTAATTTAATTTAATTTAATTTAATTTAATTTAATTTAATTTAATTTAATTTAATTTAATTTAATTTTATTTTATTTTATTTTATTTTAACTAATAACTAATAAAACTGTAAATGACATATAACACAATAAAATAAACACAAATAAAAATACATGTACTGGCAGTTGAAGATTGAGGTAAGGTCATCTATGTAGAAAAAAAAATTGTTATGAAGTGTGCCAAACATGCGTGTCAAACACGCCACCGTGTCCACCGTGGGATACATAGAGCAATAGACATGATGACGGTTGACAGTATATTTTTAATGATTCAGTAAACAGCAAATGTGATGTGCATCTAAGTGTGATAGTAATTTGTCGTTTCAGTGTTACTGGTAAGTCAACAACTTGTGTCAACTTGGGTTCGTATAACTATCTTGGATTTGCCGAGGACACCGGACCTTGTGCTGAAGCCTCTGAAATAGCCGTACGGAAATACGGTGTTGGAGTATGCAGTACACGACAGGAGTACGGTGAGTTTAGGTCTATATTAAATTAAGTCATTATAATTGCATGAAACTAGAAAAAAAGAAATCAGAAAGAATTTAAAGTAATGTATGTAGGATTCAATACTTTATTTCAAAAAAATGTAGCCAAATTACTTTCCATTTTTTAATGGATCATTCATGAATCTTGGTGACTATTTGAAATATTTGATGTCCGAATTTTTGAGTGAATTTTTTACTATTTACTGGTATTTACTATTTAATGATTTTCAGTGTATGTATCAAAATGTTGATGTTCGTTTTGAAAAATTCCAATTTGTTTGTTCAAATGTCATTGGCTAATGATTTTGAATACTCTATTTGGTCTATTAGCAGCACATGTGAATTATACGTAAATTACAGACGTTTTACTGTGCTAAAAATATTATTTCAATACATTTATATTATTATTGGTTTACGGGCGCTTCTTATGGAGATGTGCTTTTGAGCTGCTGTATTTACCGTAAAATCTGTATTAGAATTCGCATCCCTAATAGAAGTTGCATCCATTATTTTTAAATAACTGAGAATCAAAAATTCACCATTTCTCATATGTGTAGATGCTCTAATAGAAACCGTATCCCCTCTGTTGCATTGTACCATTTTAATAGATGCAGCGGCTTCTAATACAGATTATACAGTAATAGAAAAAATGATAGTGATTCACAACAAATTTTCGCTAATGTGGGCCCCAGTAACTCAAAACATTGGGACACTGTGTGATATTCAAGGTCAAATATTTGCTGTTTATTTTTAAATTACAAATACTTATCATAACCCAAGACACCAATAAATCAGTAGCATAACTTTCATGAAAAAGACTTTTAATCGGATCTTCAGCATTTTATTATTATTAATATTACATTTTATATAATTTTAACTTTTTTTTTTTTTTAAATTTTATTTGAAAAAAAAAAAAAAAAAAAAATTAACTTTATTTTGCATGTTTTCTTCCATTAGGCAATCTTGATATCCACACAAGACTTGAAAGACTTGTAGCGCAGTTCTTAGGCTTAGATGCGGCTATGGTGTTCGGTATGGGGTTTGCTACCAATGCCTTGAACATTCCTACACTGCTAGGAAAGGTTGGTTTTATATATGCTGATCGGTTTGTCTGTTTTGACAATTAAAAGATGAAGATACCGTACATAAGTTGATGAAAATACAGTGAGATGTCAATAATAATAAAATATAAAATAAGAACTGATTTTGTCTATATCCTGTTACAAGTCAGGTAGTATGATAATGCAACTATAAAATTATGGTGCTTTGATTTGAGTATAAATTAAAAATGTTCTTTGGTATCAAATTTTGTGAAATTTTAGTGTTTAGTGAGTCAATTGTATTGATTACTGTAAAATACTTTATTTTAGCTGGAAATAATTGTTGCTGAAAAGAGCATTTGGGTGTTTTGTATGGAATTTTTTTCACTGATTTTTGATGAGTTGAATGTGAAATATAGGAAACAAGCTATATTCGCTGGATTTTATTTTTACTAAATATTGAGTAAAAATAAATTTCAAGCCAAAATAAAGTATTCTACAGTACTTAACAGTTTATTGCAACACATGGTAACAATTTCGGTTCTCTGGATCTTCAGTGATTCATTTATATGCTAATTATATGCTAATGTATGATAATTTATACCATTCTAAACAGTAGTTTATCAAATGATTATTTAATTGCAATGAGAGCAAATTCTGTCTTCTACCAAGTACTGGAGTTTTTGGTTGTGTGTTTATGCTGCTTGACACCCTTTGCCTTTAAACACATCCTATAGAATTACATGATGAAAATTGTTTTTATTGTTGGAAATCTGCTCTTTGATTGGTCTGACTGTTA